GAAAGATTTTCTAGCGAATTTCTCCCAAATGAATCGATTGCTCACTTAGAAACTGAAAAACTTTCCATCATCACGTGTTTTCTTCAAAAAATTTGTATTTTCCAAAACTCCTATACATTTCAAGACCGATTCACCGAATTTGTTTCTAAGTCATAATTTGTAAAGAGGAAATGAAAATCCAATGGAGAGTTCGAAAATTTTATGAATCCAAATTCAGCCTTTGGAAGAAGTTGACGAGGAGAATGAGCAAGATGAGCACATGCAATCGCCACAACCAAACATATCAACATCAACTGCACGACTGAAAACACCGAGACGTAATGCGAATGTGTCGTGTGGTCCCAATACGTCCCAAAATCATAATCAAACCCAACAAAACGCTTCAATGAAAAACGATGAAACAACAAATTCAACACCAACTTCAAGAGCACCATGGGAGAAGGTAGCGTTATTATAACAGTTCTTATTGTTATCGATATCGTTTTCTATTGCTTCTTTTCGTTATTCTCAGTGAACTTTGATTAGTTTTATTGTATCAGTTGTTTTTTGTTATTTTATTATTCATATCATCACCTTTTTCATTAATAACCCCCACATTGCAATTATTTTTGATTATTATCTTATTTTGATCTCTTGCAAGAGATCTGAACCGAACATCGAACAATTCATGCAAACCACACAACTGCACTGCGGTAATAATGCGACAACAACTTGTTACAGTAATCTTATAGAATGCTTCTGAAAATTGTTGGCTACAGTAACCATTCTACAGACTTCGTTCGCTGAGCGGGAGACGGAGTTGATGGCAGACGACGAGACAAATCAGCACAGTAATTTCGGCTTAGCCAATCAGAAGACGCCATTGGCTTCCTCTTCATTAGCAGTTATTCCGGTAATCGCATTGTACACTCGTTGTTACTGTAGTCTATGATAGAACTTCGGTTTGCTACAGTACGCATGTCTTGCAGTGATCGTACAGTTAGAGTAGATCGTATATGGAAAGCTGTGCCGAATGGTTACTGTTGCCTTTGAGAAAGTAAAATCATTCACAAGAGTATTTTATTCAGCTGGAATGATACAAATGAAATCTTTGGAATTATCTGCATTAAGTGTGATGTATAGATCAAAATGTAAAATTTATCGTAAACGCATCCGGTCAATAATATTGCTTGTACACTCCTCTTGAAATAGCATCCATTTTCAGGCTCATTTCCTCAACACACCAACGCATGTTTTGAGCATTATGAATGGACGTTCAAGCAGGAACAAAACGTTGCCCACTCAAAACGCAAACGAATCAAAAAATGCCACAATTGATATTTCCGAAAACGATCATAGTCCAGTTAGGGAGAATGTAGCACATGATTCATCGATGCATGACAGTGCAGTAAGTCATTCACCATTTAATATATTTCTTGTTTGTTTCCACTTGTTCATTTTTTGTTTTCTATGACTCACTTGATTGATTGACCTTCGGAGTCAAGACGAATGTGTGATGAATGAACACAATTTAAAATTTTCAGTATCTTTCACCAACAGCCAATTTCGTCGAAGACTCTTCCAATGCTGCTCTATAAACAACCACTTAACTAATTCCTGATGAACAAGTCAAGGGTTCTTACTGATATGCTTATGCAACCTAATCAGAGTAACACTTCAACTTAAATTCTACGGTTTATAATTTCTTAAATTGATTCATCTCATAGATCATGTACACTTAAACACATTTGACATTTCTTCTGTCGGATTCAACAACCAATATCAATAGCTAACTCTGTGCGATACACCATGAAACGCCTTCAAAAAATTCTGAATGTCTTGAAAATTTCAAGAAATTTTTGAGTCCACAAGAAGGGAAACGTTTTCTTGTTCAAAATCGTTGTCAAATAATCACTCTCTCATATTTCACCTGCAATGTTCTGATCGAAGAACATAGTACTACTCTCCCGGTGTACTATGCTCTTCGTTCGGAATATTGCAATACCACGTCACATCTCCTAACACCCACATCCAAAGATTATTTCAATTTCCTAGTGTTTTCCACTCTCCTCATCCAAATATTATGACCTCCTGGTTTATTTGTCGTATTTTGATATTATTTATGTACTAATATGATTTATGCTGTGTAAGGTTACTGCTTAAGTTTACTTTAACGTGTAACTAAAGTTATCATACGTGTGTAATTGTACACATAAAGTTTGATGTTTTCCATCATCGTGTTCAATTTCCCCTTTCTAATCAATTTCAAGGTCACCATCTTCAAACACTATCCTTCTTAACTTCAAACAAACTTGTGCAGGAAAGAATCTTATGTGTGCGGAGAATTTCCAAACAAACAAAACCATTTACTGGAAATGAGAGAAATCTTAAACAAGAGACGACCACGATGAAAACGCAATTGACTGGCTACATTTTCATCAATAGAATAGATCAAGAAAAGAATTACCGAGAAGCCAATAACCGTAAAATTTAAAATTATACAAAACTCTATCCGTTATAAGTTAGAATATGAAATGTTAACAGTTCAACATTTATGTTTGAATAAATTTATTGAAATAAATATTTGAAGAATATTCTATTGGAAACTGAAAAAAACTTAACAATTATAAAATTCATCCATAGGAAAATGATAAATTTCTGAACATAGCAATTTGGCAAACTATTATTAGAACAAGAACAGGGGAAAGTCTACGCCAACACCCATACAACACCGATATTACATGAAAGAAACGAGAGCATAACACACTTGTTAAAACCTTGTATGATGGATACAACTTCAAAGAAAAAATATACGATAATTTCACAAAATTAAAAAGATTCCGCAACATATTTATGCATTATCAAACAACAAGAACAACTGCAAGGAATGTTGGTAAATGAAAAGCAATTAATAAAAACTGGAGGAATGGGTGGTGGGTGAAGGGTTTGTTGAATGATTACAGAATTA